AATGGATGGAGAATGCACAAGCGGAAAAGAGGACAAACAACTTGATATTATTATTCAGCTTCATTTCCCAATCCCACGTCATACTTTTGTACCCCTTTAGTGTGGAATGACCCACAAACAAGCAAAATAAATAGTACCAGCACTGAACTTAAAGTACTGTTTCAAGCAGATGTTATGGTTTATTCTGTGTGCTTTTGCCTGTCTGTCTGTCTGTCTGTCTGTGTCAGAATTTCACTTAGATTTGAAGTGTTTTATATATTTCCAAATGTGCTTGTAGACTTCTTCATGTTTATTCATTAACTTGTGACTTTTATTTACACAGGGCCATGGATTTCTTTGCCAACATGTAAATAACCTACTATTTTGTTTAGCAATACAGGACTGACAGGAGCAGTAGAATTCTCTTCCTTTATAGCATGTAATGCCTTTTGTGTTGAATTGAATAAGCTTATCCAAGCCTTCCTCAATCTTTGTGTTTGAATTCCTTGAGGTTGTAAATGAATGAAGTGGAATGTTAGGTATCAGGTTTGGTTTGCAGTGATTGCTGGTATAAGAGAGATTTTTGGGTGTGCCACGGCAGAGCACATTTGATTTTTGATAGACGTGGATGTCATGCATTGATCCTCTGAGCCGCGCGCTTTTCACAAGCCGGTATAGCTGCTAAATTTGCAGCAACTTGCAGAAGCAGATATTACAGACTGCTTAAGGGCAAATATTGGTGTGAAGCTGAGACCAACAGCGGCTGGATCAGCGAATCCAAGATCGTGAATGACAAGGAAACCGTAAGTTATGTTTATTTAATTATCAAGGAGGTTGTGGTTTCTTTTTAGTTATTTAAAATGTATCATTGCAGTAAATAATGACCAGTGCCACCTTGAGAAAGTTTTGATGGAATAATTGACATTACTGATGAAGTTTTTTTTAACATATACGCAAGTGTGATTCTTTAAGTTAAAAGCCGATTTGTTGAAAAAAAGATTGGAGATTTTGAGGTATTATTGCCTGTATTTTTTGGCCAATCTTTTATTGAATTATTAGATGGCCCTTGGCCCAAGCTAGCCTGTAGCCTGAGGTGCATGCCAAATTGAGGTAGATGGTCAATGAGCCGGGATGCTTAAGACGTTGATTTATGTAGTAGCAACCATCGAGTTTGACGTACTAACGTGAGAGTCGCAGAGACGACAGAGGATGCCGGAAGGGCTGTCATCACTAGTGTTACACCACCGAGAGGCTGAAATCAGCAGGAGAACACCTAATTTTTAAAACACGGTGAACTGTATCATTCTTGTTTTTGCAATAACATTTAATTGTTATTGAGATCTATTAAGATAGATTTGTTTGATAATCTTGATTTGCAAGACATTCTTTTTTTGTGATTTATAAATCGAAGAGGTTTTATGTGGCCAAATCGACTGGAAATTGAATTTGGAAGTAGTTAACCGGTCATTGTTTTTTTTTTTAAATAAAATCTTTGGAAAACATCCAAAGTAAGTGTACATTGGTTTTTTTATGACTTAGTGGACAAACTTAGAAGTGGTTTCGAATGTATCCACACCTAGAGTTCTTTTATTAGTTTAATTTGTTCAGAAAGTACAAACAGAGATTCCTTTAATTACTATTTTTTTTGGTTGAGTTGTGTTTCAAATTAAGAGTTTAAAACTGAGAAGAAAGAATACTTAGTTTATTTTGTGAGACACTTTTGTTGTGTTCCGCATTAATCATGCATTTTATGACTTAAGAGAAATTAATAATCCTCTTTATGACTTAAGGAGAAATATTGTAAATACTGCAAGAAGAAGTGGACTTATAAATTAAATTGTAAATAATAATTGTGTAAATAGAACTGATCTTGTCCATTGTTGTGATTATTTTGTGTTTGCAATCTAATCATTTTATCTTTCCAGCCAGTCCCTAAAACAAAAGAGTAACTGTGACAGTCTGATTGATGTCCTTTTTTTGGGGGGGGGGGAGGGGAGGGGGAATCGTGATTTGTTAGCCTTTGTTTTTCTTTTCCTTTTTAATATGTTCGTTAGCTTGTTTGTTTTGTTCTGTGTGCTTGTATCTGTCTGTCTGTTTGTCGTCCTTTGTTGTTTCTGTGTGTAGTGCAAAAGTTGTACTGTTCTAGTTGGAGAGCTTCTCGAAAAGCTTTTATTAAACTTTTAGGCAATCCATCAGACCTGCATACGGTACAATTTAATGTTTGATATTTTTTAATGTTTTTGTTTTATAGTTTCTTGTAACTTCCCCATTTGGGGTTTTTGCTTTTGATCTCCTTTGTCGTTCTTGCAAGTTTTAGGCAATAGGTCTCGTTCAAATGACATCATTTCCTACAGACCATCCACGTGCATCGGCATTTTGAGTGTCAACTTGCATAACGCGCATCGGCTGCATCATATTTCGAACACATTTCGAGCAACAAGCGCCCGTGTTTAGAACATTTTGAACACTGCGCAATGCGTGCTTGATTGCGTAAAATACGCGGTTGCAGTTCTCCTACAGAGATGGCCGTCAGTGAGCGAGCCCTATTGAATTATGTTACATAATATTTTTGACCGCGAAATGATCTTTAACATAACAATGTAATAAAAACTAGAACGGTGAAGCCATAATGGCTCGCTGTAGAAGGTGGAAAGGGAGGCTGAAGGTAGGGTTGGGGATGGGCATGGTGGATGGGGATCAGGATTCACGATGATGTGACAAGGTGTCACGTATGTTCATCCCTTCCCTTAGTTTGTGCGCCAGTGACTGTCGAAATGGCAGAGGAAAGACACACCAATTTTCATCTGAAAACATCCTGTTCATTTTGCTAGATTAAGTGAGAAACATTCCACTGGATGAAATTAAATGAGTTTCTTTTGTTTTATTCGCCATATTTTTGTGGTAAAAATTCGACATTTTTCTTCGTTTTTCGCTTTCCATTGCCATGCAATCATCAGCAAAAAGGGCCAACTAAAGTTGGGATTTTTTAAATGTTCTCCAGTTTCCCCAAACATGCCACTTATCACAGCATATGAATGAGATATGAAAAAAATATTATTACAGGATTAATGAGTTATTCAGGCATGCAACTGGAAAGTCACAAATAAAAGACGAAATTCAAATCTTTCCAAGACTTTGTACAGTGTTTTTCTATTTTCTATGGCACACAGCTGATCCGAGGAAAAGTTGCATGCCTGGTTATTGGGAATGGGTTTGGGTTCTGACCGTATGAACCATGCACCGTCAAATACGATGTCACCATGCAAGGAAGGCCATGTTGGGTCGTCCACATGGAGCACTGGCCCGGCTTGCGCAACGAGGAAAATCACGCTGCCGTATATGGGTCACCAGAAAAATGTGTACACGTCGGCGGATACGTCCTTCTTTCTTGAGCTGTCCTATTCGCAATAACTTGGAAATGGTATAATTATTTTCATCTATTCTTTATCTACATGGCAATGTCTTTCACTTTTCCAGGAAAATTAGAGAAATATTTTTATAATTGGATTGATACACACATGGTTAGAAGAATTTTGGGGGAAAGGATTTTTTTTCTCTTAAATTTTTTTTTTTTTTCAGAATATTTTTTTTTACATTTGGACAATCTCAGCTCATAGCATAAGTGCACTGGCATGAACATACGTGGTGTAGAGGTTAGTTTTATTAAATGCCAACATAAAAAGTCAAAAAATGTCCTTACATGGGTGTACATGTACATATACGACACCACCCCTGCCCTGTTTCAATTGTTTCCTCACACATAATTTGAATACATTTTGTATGAAAGTTGTTAAAGGTATCAGACATTTTCATACACTTCATAACAAGGTATTATTGACTAGTCACTGATATTAGTGAACAACATTCAACAAGATGAACATTATGAAGATTGAGCCACATCCAGTTACTTTTGTAAACTTTTCCTGAGTCAAACGTCCCACTGCGGACACAGGTTAAGATTTTACCCGTTCTGTTTTTACCATCAACTTCGTAAATCTGAAAGCAAATGAGTCCATTATGAACACGGCTTTTTACTGCTCCATTGTACTTTATTCCTTTTAAGAAATAGGCCCTCCAAAAATGATCATGTAACATTCTGGTAATGAAAACAATTCAAAGAATTGGTTGCATTCAAACCATTTATGCTAAAACTATTTTCAAAGTGAATGCAGGGTGTTGTCTTAGTTCACACTGAAGTAATGTAGATTTCTTACCTCAGATATCTTCTCAAACTTGTCACACGATTCTTGTTGTTTCATCTCAGCTTGCTGCACATCCTTGTTCTTTGCTCGTGCTTTCTCTAATGCTTTGTTTGCAGACTGATAGTCAACAAGTGCACGCATCCTGCGGTACAACAGATCCTTTACACAAAGAATAATCATTTATCAGTCTAAAAGTTGATTTATCCAACATTTCCTGGACACATTGAATGTCACATAAAACTTGATACTATATTATCAGGAAGCTGAAATCAGGAATTTGGAATGTTTCATTGGCCCAATGAGCAGGGGGTAATAATGCTGCAGCACCTTGAGCACCTGTCCAGGTGGATATGTGCACTTTAGAAATAGTCACTATAATTAGCTGTTTTGGTGACACACCAAAACAGCTCTTGTTTTAGTTAAGATTTTTTTTTTAGCTGCTTCAGCGTACACACCAAAACAGCTATTGTTTTCGTTAAGATTTTTGGGGCTTTTCTGCAAAGTGTGGAAAAGCCTTTCTTTCTGTTCTGAATATTTTTTCTTTCTTCTTCTTCCTTTTTGTCGGAAAAAAATCCCATAGACTTTGTAAAAAAAAATTCCGGCCTTCACTTTTGCCATTCATCCTTGTCATACATCCTTTAAAGTTACCATAGGCATAGTCCCTATAGCAAGGATGTGTCCCGAAGAGTGACGTCATGGTGACGTCACCATGGGGTCGCGTGACCTCACTTTAAAGATTTCTAGATTTAATCTTTGAAAATCAATATAAAAGCAAACATGAGGGACCTGAACTTGATTTTTGCGGGAACTGATATAATAATCCAGGGTCTTCTTTTAGTGTGTGTGAAGTCACGTGACCCTTTTTCCAGCCCAAACCTGAAGTGGCTTATAATTCAAAACTGGAAAAAGATGTGAACTCGCTTTCAACGATGTTAGTCTGTGTTAGGTTGTCGTTTCCAAACAAATTACAGGTTTGCAAAAAAATTACTACCAGTAGGTTGAAAAATGTTTAAAATGCATTTTGAGTTGATGTCTGTGGCAAATTTTGTAGTAATCGCTTAAAAATTAGTATATATGATGGCCTAATGCAGACAACACTTGCGAGCAAAAAATAATTAATGTCATCATCAGACCGGAAGTTAGAATGAAAAAACGAGAGATCTATGTGTCTTTGAAAACAGCACATAAGGCTTTTCCGCTTATTCTATTTTGTATGACTTTATGCTTTTTTGCCAATGTGGAGTCATGTAAATTATATTTTTGGTTCAAAGTTCATAAAAAGTTATATTGAGCTAGTATAGCCAACAGATATAAAATGTATGAAATTAGTTGATGGCATCATGTTGACAACACTTTGGATTTGGCATTTGATGACGTCACATGCCCTAATATTTTTTTGCAAAAATCATGAAAAATTAACCGATGACGTCATGGTGACGTCTTTTCAGAATTTGTATACTGGTACCATTTTCTAGCTATCCACTAATTTTCATGACGATCGGACCTTCCCTTATATGTGTTTTAAAAAATCGCATTTTTGATGACGTCATGATGACGTCACACATTTTTCAAAATTTTGTGCATATATCTATTACCTAACAAACATAATACGAGAAGAATTTTGAATTTTGCATGTTGCGTTCGTGAGATACGGCTTAAAGGTCCAAAATGCCAAAAATTCATATAAAAACACACGATGACATCATGATGATGTCACATAAATTTTTGCCTAAAACGCATCCCGGTCTACTCACATACCAAGTTTCAACCCAATCGGACTTACAGTTCTCTAGATATAGGACTTTACAATATGCACATTTAGGATGACGTCACGTGATCAATGATGACGTCATCATGAGGTCACCTCAATTTTCATCTGTAACACATCCCGATCTACCTACATACCGAGTTTCAACCCAATCGGACTGACAGTTCTATAGATGTAGGACTTTGTAATGTCCACATGAATGATGACATCATGTGACCCATGGTGACGTCATCATGACGTCAATCTTCGGGACACATCTTTCCTATAGGAACTATGCCTATGCTGACTTTGAATAATGTATGACAAAGATTAATGCCAAAAGTGGAGGCCAGAAAAGACGTGCTCAAAGTCAATGGACTTTGAGATGGAACAAAAAGAAGAAGAAGAAGAAAGAAATATGAGATCTATGTCTGTTTGCAACAGAACATAGGGCTTTTTCGCATTATGCTTTTTATCAATAACACGTCCCAGACTATGCATGTACAATGTTTCAAAGTATACGGTACAATACTTTTTAAAATTTAGCATGTGGCGTCTGTGAGATATATAAATTGCCAAAAGAAATACATCCATATTAAATCAGACGTGTCGGACTACCTTCGTACATGTGCATGTGTCATTCTTGAGATATGGCTTAAAGGTCCAAAAATCAACTAAAATCACATGATGACGTCATCCTCAATATTCACCTATAACACATCCAGCCGGTCTACCTGCATACAAAGTTTCAACCCAATCCGACTGACAGTTCTGTAGATATAGGACTTTGTAATATGCACATGAATGATGACGTCACATGACCCATGATGACGTCATCATGACGTCAATCTTCGGGACATATCTTTGCTATAGGGACTATGCCTATGCTGACTTTGAATACTGTATGATAAAGATTAATGCCAAAAGTGGAGGCCAGAAAAGACGTGCACAGAGTCAATGGACTTTGAGATGAAACAAAAAGAAGAAGAAGAAGACGAGAGATCTATGTCTGTTTGCAAGAGAACATAGGGCTTTTCCGCATTATAATTGTTTTTTTAACAATAACACATCCCTGACTATGCATGTACAATGTTTTGATTGAATCAGACTTGGCTTGAACAGGTTCCTGTATTGAAAGAAAATGTGACAATTGTAAATTTATCGAAATATTTTTCCTCGAACATTTTTTGTCTGTATGATCGAAAACACAAAGTATAGTATACAGATACATGTATACATGTGTTGTACAGTCTAATTGCACCATTTGTTGTCTAGTTTTCAAGCGAATTTTCCAAAACTAAACCAACTGTCTTAATAAAAAGCACACATTCATAGCTGGATATCCCATCTATAAATAAAGACAATTGGGAAACAAAACGTACATAAAAAAGGAATTTAACATGAAACAAATTGACATGACATGAAACAAATTAGCATTCTCAAAACGAGCCACACCCCCCCCCCTGAAATTATGTGTTCGTACGTGCATGATGATTTGCTGTACACCGCCGTCCGCCCGCGTACAAGCTAAAAGAAAAGGCAGAAAACCTACGAAAATGTCGCCACAAGGACTGGCACAAACTATTCAAACGAAAGCTCGTTGCTTTCTTTATCGATGTGTGGTGATCATTTTTTTGTCCTTATCTAGTCAAGTCACGGCGAAGGAACTAAAAAAAGAACAACCAAATTCATCCTCAAAATCGCACCCCAACTTCTAATGAAACAAATTCTGCCAAAATATACTGAATCTATTTCTGAATCCACATATCATTCAGAAAAAAAAGGTTCGCTTTCAACTTAATACCATGCATGCCATCTTCAAGAACCGCTACTTCTTTTGTAAATGTGTAGTTCATATAAACAGAGCTGTCGAACACTCCGGCCGATTCGTGACAAAGCCCTGCAGATAAAGGTCAGGATTTGACCTCAGCAACGCGTGCGCTGCGGGCTGATTGACATACCATGTATGTGCATATGTACAACGCACGTGCATGTACATTGTGGACATCCTGAGCATGTTTTAAAGCAGAGGTATTGCCAACCTGAAGTTTTAAGCGTGTGCAGGGCATGTCCAAGTTGCTTATTGCCTCAAAACTTCGAAATGTTTTAGACCTACCCTTAAATCGACAATTAAAGTAAAAATCAATATAAAAACTGTCATGGTTGATTTTTTAGGAATTTTCAAAGGAAAAAAGGTCTTTTCATTATAACTTCCGGTATGATGACGTCATCATTTTTTTTCGTGCACAGGTGTTGTCTGCATTGAGGTCATCATATACACCAATTTTGAAGCTATTACCGCAAACTTCGTCACAGACATCCACTGAAAATTCATTTTACACTTTTTTCAACCTACCCGTAAAGGGCGCTCTAACATGCGCTCTAAGGTGTCGGGTTATGTCACATTAAAGATGAATTTTTTCCCAATATGTTTTGTGCAAATTTTAAAACACTCCAGTCTGGCACCTTCGTAAATCCGATCGACTTTAGACTTGATACATACTTAGACCGCCACCCACAGATGGTCCTAGAAGAAATCCAAAATGTTTTGTACACGCTTTAAACACGCTACTTTTGCACTTTTGTAAATGTGATTAATGCTAGACTTGGTACACACTTAATCTACCACGTAGATTATGTCACATTAAAGATGCATTCTTCCCCCTATTGGTTTTGTACATGTTTTTCTTCAAACCATCCATTTTTGCACTTCTATGTGTCTGACTGACTTAACACTTGTCGGACACTAAGACCAGCAACCGTAGATGGTCCCCAATGAATTCCTAACAATGACGTCAACATGTGTCACGTGACATGACATTTAATGTGCATTTTTTTTTTCAAACAGCTATAACTTCGATAAGTCTGATTGGGTTAAAACTTTAATAGTATGCACATTCACAGGGATATGTTATATATGGAAATTGAAGTGACGTCATTATCAAATGTCAAGTGACGTCCCTTAAAGGGGCATTTTATTCTTTTATAGGCCTATATCTACAAAACTATAATAAGAGGTTGTAACTTGACATATGCTGTTATAGATGACATTTGTAGTGACGTCACTTATTGTTCATCACGTGCACAGAGTATTTCAAATATCCGAAACAGCTTGTGTTTGTCCACAAACACATTTCTTGTTTTCGTGAAGATTTTTTTCTTTCTTTTTTGAAGGGCTTTTCCACAAAGTGCGAAAAGCCGTTGTTTTTGTGCTTTTTTTTTTTGGCTTTTCCGCAAAGTTGCGGAAAAGCCTTTGTTTTTGTTCTGATTTTTTTTCTTTCTTTTTCTTTTTGTTCCACCCCAATTCCCATAGACTTTGTACACGTTTTTTAACCGCGGCATTTTGAACCTTAAACAAACTTGTATTCCAATGAAACCTAACCTATGTGAAGACCCCATAGTGAGTATGTGTCCCGAAGAGTGACGTCATGATTACGTCATCATGGGTCACGTGACGTCATCTTAAACATGCAAACTTTAAGACCCTATATCTAAAGAACCATAAGTCCGATTGGGTTGAAACTCGGTATGTAGGTAGGCCGAGATGTGATATAGGTCAAAATTGAGGTGATGTCATCATGACGTCATCGTGTGATTTTATATCGATTTTTGAAGTTTTGGACCTTTAAGCCAATATGCTAAATTCAAAATTCTTTTTGTATTATGTTTGTTAGGTAACAGGTACATTCACAAAATTGTGAAAATTATGTGACATCATTATGACGTCATCAAAAATGCAATTTTTCAAAACACATATAAAGGAATGTCCAATCGTCATGAAACTTGCTGGGTGGGTAGATAATAGTACTAGTACACAAAATCTGAAATGACGTAACAATGACGTCATCGGTAGACTTTTTACGATTTTTAAAATATTAACAATTTTATTCTGCTTACAAATTTAACACTTTAATTCATCCGATTGGCTTCAAACATGCTAAATTCAAAATTCTTTTTGTATTAGGTTTGTTATGTATAGGCATCTGCACATTTTTTTTGAAAAATGTGTGACGTCACAATGACGTCATCAAAAATGCGATTTTTAAAAACACTTATAAGGGTAAGTCCGATTGTCTTGAAACTTGGTGGGTAGGTAGATAGTTTTAATAGTATGCAAAATCTGAAGTGACGTCATGGTGTCGTTGTCAACTTTTTTTTACATTTTCTTCTAATACAAAATTTGACAAAGTATTTTTTAAAAAGTATTTCTTTACATGTATTATTTAAAAAATGCGGAAAAGCCTGTGTCCTGTTCATCGAACAGGCATAGCTCTAGTTTTTCTTTTTTCTTCTTTTTGTCACCTAAATGCCATAGACTTTGTACACGTTTTTTCTCAGTGCCACTTTTGGCATTAATCTTTGTCATACATCATTCAAAGTTTCCACAGGCATAGCCCCTATGGCAAAGTTGTGTCCCGAAGAGTGACGTCATGGTGTCGTCTTCATGGGTCACGTGACACCATTTTAAATGTGCATATTGTAAAGTGCTTTATCTACAGAACTGTAAGTCTGATTGGGTTGAAACTTGGTATGTAGATAGACCGGGATGTATTATAGGCAAAAATTGAGTTGACGTCATCATGACATCATCGTGTGATTTTGTATGAATTTTTGGATATTTGGACCTAAGCCATATCTCAAGAACGCAACATGCAAAATTCAAAATTCTTTTCGTACTTTGTTTGTTAGGTAATAGGTATTGGCACAAAATTTTGAAAAATGTGTGACGTCACAATGACGTCATCAAAAATGCAATTTGTAAAAACACATAATAAGGGAAAGTGCGATCGTCATGAAAATTAGTGGATAGCTAGATAATGGTACTAGTATGCAAATTCCGAAAAGACGTCACCATGACGTTATTGGTTTATTTTTTTATGATATTTTCTCATATTTACAATTTTATCCCGCTTCCAAATTTAACACTTCCTTTCATTGGATTGACTTCAACCTTAGTACAAACCAAGACCACAATGCAAAAATGTGCATTGACAAGTGTTATCAAGATGATGTCATCGTAGGGCATGTGACATCTTCAAATAATTTCTACACATTTTATATCTGTTGGCTATACTAGCTCAATATAACTTTTTATGAACTTTGAACAAAAAATATAATTAAAATGACTGTACATTGGCAAAAACGCATTAAGTCATACAAAAAAATAAGCGGAAAAGCCCTATGTTCTGTTTTCAAACAGACATAGACCTCTAGTTTTTGGCTTTTCCGCAAAGTGCGGAAAAGCCTTTGTTTTTGTGCTGTTTTTTTTCTTCTTTCTTCTTCTTCTTCTTCTTCTTCTTCTAAGGCAAATTATGGAGGATACCAATGTATAATGAGGACACAAAAAAGCAAAATAGTACCCACCTTGTCTGTACAATTGAAGCTTGAAAAAAAAAAAAAGCCACCAAAAAAAAAAAAAGGCAAGGCAGCGTGAACAGAGCCTGATGTTGCACAGGAAATTTGTCTTTTTGCGATGCCAAACTCCTTCACGTGGCGATTTGTTTTATCCAGTTCACCAGGCATTAAGGACTTTCTGCCGAGTTGTATAACAAGGACAATAAAAAAATTGTGCCTGTTGGTATATGCAAATGTAAGGTTTAACAGGTAAGAGAGTCCCAAAAGTTGACTTGAAAACCAATATAAAATAAATCGTGAGAGACCGGAACTTGATTTTTGGGGGAATAGATCTCCATTTTATCTCGTGTGGGTCAAATCACGTGACTCTTCCTTCCGGTACAAATCGGAGGTTCCTTTTAATTTGAAATTCATTGAATGTAATTTTTTTATTGATTTTCGAAGTTTCAGCGTTATTTTCCAATGAAATACACTTTAAACTTCAAAATGATTTCCACACAATGAAACCACAGCCTGTGGTTAAACTGAGGTGCAGTCTTTGTTTCAGCTCTTGATTTGGTTATTTTACTCGGTTATTTTCTTTCGTACATGTACATCAAATTTTTTCGCTGTACACAACGAAACTACACATCGCATCTACAACCAAAGTTGTAGTCGAGGACTTTTTTCCGAGCACCAAGAACTGCCTTCTCAGCTTTGAAAATGAGTACAAGTACTTCCAAGTAGAAGTACAGGTCACCGAGTACGAGTACAAGTACCAGTATGAGAACAGACGACATATTTCGTGATTTTTGTCACGAACAAGTTACAACTTGGGTACAAAAGTGCCACAAATTCTTCACAGGCCGACAATTTTTTTACTAATGAGGTCTTCCAAACGGGTAAAGCCATAAGCAGAGCCAGTCTTCTATACACGCTGATATGTAAAAAAAAACACACACACACCAGTGCCACCCACATGCTAACTAAGCGGTTAGTCCGCTATCAATGCCTTAAAACTAGCAAATAAAAGTAATATTTTGCTCAGCTTGTTTCACGAGATGTATGCATGTGCTCCCATTTTCTCACGGATGATGCTGCACATGCACACTACCCCCATGGGCTAGTTTCATGATTGCTACATAAAGCACACCCGTAGTAGACCAGCGCATGGGAAATGTGTGCAATAGTCTATGATGTATGCTATTTAACCTGTGCATGAAACCTAATGCGTTCTTGGCAAACAGCAAAACTAGCGGCTGACACGTGATGGTGAATTGACCACTGAAAAATTGGCCGTTGATTATGAATATGTATGAGTATAGAATACAAATGATACAGTACCTTTGCTGCAGCAGAATCTCTCATATAGTAGCGTAGAAGATCAGAAAGTTTAAGGTCTTCATCTGACGCCACCCTTGTCTCAAGTTTCTAGTTGATCAAATAGAAATCGCATCCATAATTATGCATATATGTTTTCACGACAAGGCATAAAAAATGACAGGTTGAACGGCCAAACAAATTTTGTACAAATGTACAAATTTAGTTTTACTGTCATGTTAGTGACATGACATCACTTCTATTTACTCCAACCATGCAAACAGGTTAGGCAGGTTTATCAACCCTAACCCTACCTCCTGCAGGATGATTCACAGGAATTGGGTATGACTGATGAAGGTAGAGACATGGCGTTGGGGCTTGAGAAACCTGCAAACTTTTCTTCCACAGTAGTGTGGCAGGAGCTATAGATCTCTCTTTAATGTCACTCCCTACACATTGCCACATGCATCTGCATTTTGGGCGTCAAATTTTCGTGATGCGCATCAGCTGTGCCAAATTGCGAAGGAATTTCTTGCAACATGCGCTGTGTTTAGAAAAATTGTACACACTGCGTGTACACGCACCTGATGGTGTTGAATACGCAGTTGTAATTTTCCTACGAAGATGGCTGTCTATGAGAGGGGTCTGTTTCCCCTTACCAGCAGGTTCCATTTGCTATTAATTTTCAAAATATTAATTTTTCGAAACTTGAAAAATATTGCTGCACAGAAGCAGCCATTGGAAAAATATACATGGATACAAGGGAAGCAATAGATCATTGTTATTGCAATCTTGCTATAAAACGATATATTGCTCTTAAGTAAGAAGTCAACATTTTCTTAAGCATAGGTCCTATGATAGTATCTGTAGAATAAGCTGGTAGGCTGATAGTTGGAAGAAATGGATTTCTATCAAACAAATACCAACTTTCAAATGGGGGCAGAATCCAACAAAAACTGGTTGAAAAGTTTTTTAAAAATACTGCAAGTGAGACTTGCCCAATCCCCTTGTCATGCTGGCATTTTTTTTATAAAGTCAGTGTCCGTAACCAAAATCGAAAATGTCTATTGTTTTAGCAAAAGTAACCTTGACGTTTAACTTGTGGGCCCCAAAATCAATAGGCTTGAAAAGACTACCAAGAGCAACCCCAAACAAAATTCAAGTTCATCAGTAAAGTAATTCTTGAGCATTTGTGCTGACATCAGGTTGGTCTGTACATCACCGCTAAGAAAACTGAACTCATGGCATACAACCAAAGTGACATTATCACTTTCAAGTCAAAATCAGGTCACCCATCAAAATTTTCCCCCACAGAAGTGTGGTGGGAGTCTACGAGCGATACTTACCTGTAGAGCCACTACATTTGCATATTCCCCTTACCGGCAGGTTCCATTCGCTAAGAGTTTATACAACAGCACCCTCTATAATGCTACCCACACTGCCCTGCGCCAGGAGCGCCATGTTGGCTTCCTCTTTTCTTGTGCTCTACAGGATTAAGCTCTTGTTTTTGAACTAGTGGGGAGGAGGGAGGGATGCTCTACAGGTAAGTATCGCTCGTAGACTCCCACCACACTTCTGTGGGGGGGGGGGAAGTCTACTTCACTCACTTACCTGTAGAGCCACTACATTTGCATAGAGTAGCACCGCCTTAAGGCGGTGGGCAGTGAGATATGTGTATTGTAAGTTCTAGTTTAATTAGTATGGAAGTATATATATAGACAATATAAACTCCCTTAGGAATGAGATCCGGAATGGGACCGTTCGAGAACCGGGCGAGCTCGGCCCGCCCAGTAAGCTGCCGCCCGCTTCGAACACTGTACCCGCCCGGTTACTCAAGCGTGACGCTCGGTTGACTGCTGGAGTGACCCTCTGGGTCACAACAATAGCTGCTATCAACGGATTAGTGGTTATTGTTCGAGGATTACAGCGCCCAACTCAGGTTGGGTTGGTGTGGAAGACCCTGGCTATCATTATATTTTTTTGTGGAATTTTATTCTTTTCTAGCTTCATAGAATGCAAGTGTTTTGTTTTTGCATGAAATCATTTGACAAATAAACTTGATACAACTGCCTAGTTTGCAAAGTTCTATATATGAACAATGGTTAAAAGCTAGATGATCAAGGTGTGAATTTTTTTCTTTGAATTTTTCGAAATACGATGTTCGATATCTATATTCTCGGATTTGATCAAATGTACGAAATACCTTATTCTGTATTGAAATAAAGTATTCCCCTACGACCAACATGAATTGTTTTGAGTGTGGTAATAATTTGATGTTTTTTAATTTTAGACTACGACACCGCACTTGCCCATTATTCATGTTAATTCATACGCATTTTAAACAGAAAAGTCTGATACCCGTTTGAGAATAGAAGCGGGCGGGCTTGGCCCCCGATCGGTATGAAGTGGCCCACTCGGTAGCCCCGATCGGTAGGAATTCTGGGCACTCTTTTATTCAAGCGTGACGCTCGAGAAGCGGGTGGGAATGACCCACTCTGTAACTCCCGATCGGTATGAACACTCGGTTATTCAAGCGTGAGCTTGGTTGACTGGAGTGGCTCTCTTGGTCGCTATCAACGGATCAGTGCTTATCGTTCGAGGATTACAGCGCCCAACTCAGGTTGGGTTGGTGTGAAAGACACTGGCTATCATTACATTTTGAGTGGAATTTTATTCTTTTCTAGCTTCATAGAATGCAAGAGTTTTGTTTTTGCATGAAATCATTTGACAAATAAACTCGATACAACTGCCGAGATTGCAAAGTTCTATATTGGAACAATGGTGTGATTTTTTTTCTTTGAATTTGTCGAAATACGATGTTCGATACCTATATTGTCGGATATGATCAAATGTACGAAGTACCTCATTCTGTATTATTTGAAATAAAGAATTCCCCATATGACGAACATGAATTGTTTTGAATGTGGTAATAATTTGATGTTTTGAATTTTAGACTACAACACCGCACTTGCCCATTATTCACGTTAATTCATACGCATTTTAAACAGAAAAGTCTGATACCCGTTTGAGAATAGAAGCGGATGAGCTTGGCCCCCGATCGGTATGAAGTGGCCCACTCGGTAGCCCCGATCGGTATGCATACTGGGCACTCTTTTATTCAAGGATGACGCTCGAGAAGCGGGTGGGAATGACCCACTCTGTAGCTCCCGATCGGTATGAACGCTCGGTTATTCAAGCGTGAGCTTGGTTGACTGGAGTGGCTCTCTTGGTCACTAGCAACGGATTAGTGTTTATTGTTCGAGGATTACAGCACCTGGCCAACTTGCAGTTGGTTCGCCCTGGCTATGATTATCTGCAGAATTTTCTTTGCTATAGAGTATAGAATTGCAGTATTTTCTTTGCATGAACACGTGTAAATGTAGGCCTATATGGGTTTTACTGATTGCTTGACGTACAACGTATTATTTTTTCCCCTTTGTTTTAAGGTTTAAGTTTTTCTGTTGACCCAAAAACTTCATTCACTTTAAATCCTGAAACCAGATTTTTATGTGTACATTTTTTGTTCACCCTGAGACTCATTTCAATTAATAGTTGGAATATTTTTTCTAACTATTCTAATTTCTATCTAGAAAATATGCAAGATAAGACATTGCAAAATTGTACGTGAACACATACATTCTAATATAGTCAAACCATTGAGCTGTGAAAGCAACTTGTGAATGACTACTGCATGGACCACGTTCCCGCCCGTCATCCGTGTACGGAACCCGGTGTCATACGAAAATCGGACTCATATGGAAATCGGACTCTTTTCCCCCTTTTATTGGTTAAACCCTCTCACGTGACCGGTCCATCTCCTAATTATCTATGCAAGAGCATGCGCAATACCTCCAATGAGTCCGTACTTCATACAACCTAAATTCATGCTACACCGGCGTCAAGCGAGCGCAGAGCAAACCTTCTTTGTCATTCATTGAACGATCTCCCTCATGTCTTAATATCGAATACATACAGCCCAACGGGGTATATGTAACTGAAGGAACAGCCATTTGTACTGCTTTGTTGCAACGCCGGGACTGGGTGTCAGACAGAAAGTGTGATACACGCTGTAAACATAATAGTCTGATACCCTTTCACTATACTTTGTGATAAACGGAACTCTAATGTCGCAGCGAGCACATTAACTTTAATGCACGTAAATAGAACAAACTGGGGAATTCTGATCTTAATACTGAACAAAATACCAACCCTGTTTGCTTTAAAAGTCAGATTCAGGGATTCATCGGTGCATGTCCGTATACATTTGTATACATTTAAGGGGAGAAAAACGTATCACGTGACTAATTGAAACCGTTGTTAACTGATCGCTCAAGCTTTTCAATAGGCCTGCGCGAGGGCAATGGGTCACCAACAATAGCAGTCCATGGCAGGGATTACCAGCGGCGCGCCCTTTGATTTGCCGGGTCTTTGTTACCCAGCAGTGAGGATTATCGCCTTGCAAATTGCTTCTTTTGTTCAGGTTCAGGAGAGGGCCCACCAGTCAGACTTGTACTTCGTTCTCTTAATCCGAGCTCGCCCACTTTGGAGAGGAGTCCCAATCCCTTTCTTGGAGTGGGCGAAGCTTAGCCCAGACCGTCTGGGAACCGGGCGGTAAGGGATCTCATACCTTAAGCTCTATGTGTATATACATGTAATAGTCAACCCTTAAACATTCATTAGGGAACTACTATGAAAACTAGTAAAGAATTGAGCATTGAATGGGACTCACCAAGGCAAATCCAATGTTAAGGTCTTTTTTCTGTAGTTTTGACAGCAGATTTTCTGGCTGCCGTCAGGACTGTGTGTCCAGGTCTTCCCTCGGACTTCAACACATCTGTCAGGTAGCAGGCCGAGAATGTGTTGGGAGATTTCCACCAAGCAGCTTTGATGATATCTTCCAAGGGAACCCCTTTGAAGAAGGCCCAGGATGTTGTGACCGCTCGAACATCATGTGCCCGAATGTCCGATCGGGACTGACTTGGCCAGTGGTTTGCTGCCGACTTTAATAGCTGTCACAATCCAACGTGTGTTTATGTCTTGAGATGCTGGTCGATGAGGTAATGAAGACGTAATAAATAGCTGTTTCGTCTGACCCCTTAAGTGTTTTGTTC